GCATCCCCCTTTGGGAGCTGTCCTAGGAAACCTTATCAAAGGAACCTTAAATCAGCCTGCATGAATAGTTTCTCTGTGGCTGCACCACAGAGATGAACAGAGAGATGAGGCCTCATTTTGGAAAGCCCACAACACTTAATTCTTTCTTATTAATAAGCCTCGCCGCTACAACCTCATCTATAAACTTTTATGTCAAAAACACTTCACCTTAGTTTCCATTTGTATCCTTGCATTTGTGATTCAGTTTTACCAGCAGAATACCTTTTGATATTCATGTACAGTACATTTATGTTTATTAAAGTATGTTTCTTTCATACGGGGATCAAATTGACAACAATTAGAAAATTATGTTATTTGTGAAATGCACCACAAAATTTAGAGTGGAGTTTAAGGTTGTCCTGCTCAGATATAAGACACTGAATAATAAGACCTATTGGTCTATAATTACTCGTTTGAGTTGATCAGCTTTTAATGGATGGGCACTATATTAGCAATTGTCTAGTCAATGGTATTACCAATTTGTTAAGAGACTGTGAAATAGTTTTGTTAACAGCCAATTAATAATACTTCTGTTTTCTAAAGATCAATTAATAGAAGACAATGAGGCCCTGCACTCAGGTGGACAGCAGATCTAATTATTTCTGAATTGCCAATGTGGAAGGAAGGGGAGTTTACCTACTATCATTGTCATACTTAGATCAAATATTGTATCTCTGTTTGGGGATAATCTAAGAAATCATCCTCCCCCACACCCCCGTTAGACATTTCTGTATTTTTAAAAACATAAACATATTCTATGTACAGTATGTTCAGTACTTATTCCTGATTATTCTTGATGTCCCTATAGATGTATCCTCAGTAATCATGTGTTCTATCATCATTTTACAAACATATGTAAAATTACATATAAGAACAAAATATTATTATATCAGAAAAAAAGTGTTATATTTTTTCCAGCACATTGTTTTGATTATTAGCTACACATAAGCAGTATTAAAAATGTCTACATGGTTTTGACCTTACTGATGTTTACTATTTTTCTGTGGAACTAGAGCATAATAACCCATTGCATCACTGTATCAAAATCCCTATAACAAAAGCTAGTAGACTACAGCTAGTGAAACAAAAAGGACTACAATAACCTACTTATATACTGTACTAGCTGGATGAGTACAGTTTAATTGAGTCAGTAAATTTATAATTCACTGACAAGTCATAATCGTGCAACAAGTATTTCTAATGTGAAATAAGATCATAGAACATTTAGTCTGGTCTTTTATACACCTTTGCTGATTTGTTTTCATGATTATGTTTATTACGTAATGAGCATATTTTGCTGTTACCAGAAAGATCTGTAAGAAAGTGCTTCAAACTGTGAAAATCTAAATGTTGTTAAAAGCCACTGTATGATTAAAGAAACATTAAAGAAATACTGATATTGTGAAAGCTGTTTAATCTTATACCCAACAGTGACACTTTAAACTTCAAAGGTGGTTTCACACCATTTAAATTTCAAAGAATCCATTTTTATTATACTGTAGTAGATTTTCAAGCTTAATTCCAATGTCTGGCCATAGGCACTCAGTTGAAAGAATTAAGAGCATCTGATACTTTTGATACTGATACAGGGATGCACTGATAGCTTCAAGGTCAAATGGATAGTCTTGATCACTGTAACACAAATTTCTTACAAAACATACACACTCAAATCAATGAAATTACATAGACGGCTACTGTATAAAATCTTAAGCCTGTCCAAAAAATCGGATTATTGTTTCAACTCATTTGTTATTGGATTGTAGAGAAATACTCCAACTTTTATCACTGAATAGTAATGATACCCATTTAAATGAGAATGTTAACACTTGGTAATATTTTTGTGCCAGATTATGAGCAGTGTTTTCATTTTCACATAGACACCACATTCAAAAGGTGGCATAAATTAATTCACTCAAGATCTGCGAAGGTCTGTGAAGTACACCACTGTCACTGCTACAAGGTTCTTTAGCAAAAAATGATATTAGACATTTGAACTTAATATTCACTGCTCTTGAATTCACTTTTCCTGAATCTATTCTTACTGTAAGCATTATATAGGAAAAGGTGAGGCAGTTTTGTGATTTATTTTATCTCAGACCTTGCAATCCACATTTCCCATCTAACAACTGATGCCAGAGAAGGTGGGGTTGAAGCAGCTGCTGCCATGGGAATATTGCCTGACTGCTTCAGTTATTTCATGAACAACAAACAGCTATTTGTCTGGACGTGAAGTTTCCATTCTAATCCCCCTTCTGCCCCCCTCCTCATCTTGCAGCCATTAAGTAATGAACAACCCCACCCTGGCATCCACACTCAAAATCCAGGGACTTGATTTTTGACTCTCACAAACGTGAATTCCATTAAAATAGACTATAGAACTGACACTGTACTAGGCAGAAGACATCTGCATTGTCTGTAGCCTAAACCTCTAAAGGATCTGTTTGTAGTTTGAAACTATAGCGAAATTAAAATAGCATGGAAATGGGCTTCGGTGCAATGCCTGAAGGTGTTGAGATAAACATCAGCTCTTTCCTTAGAAAAAATGACAAATTACAGGGGTGTGCCAGTGTTTGTGTCTGGGGATATTTTCAGACAAGATCAAGTGAAATCAAGGGACTGTTCTGTGACCATCAACCAAAACAAATTGATGTGAATCGGGCCACAGTCCAGACTTAAGCTTAGCAAAATGTATAGCTATTTCAATTAAAATGTAAACAGCATAGAAATACAGTATCAGAATTCTTAATATATTGATACATATATTTCAACTTATGGCATTCGAATATGGAGCTGTGTTAGAGGATGGCTTCAAAGAAAAAGCTAGAGGTTAATTCCTTGCTACAAACCAGAAGAAAAAAGAAGAAAACATGTAGTGACACATCTGAAGAAGACCCCATAACCAAAAATCTGTTTCAGCATGGAATTAACTTCCTATGTGTTCCTATAATAGTAATAACAATAATAAATGTGTGAAATCTCATGATTGCAGACATATATATATATATTGTACAGTATATGAAAAATATTTTCTTTGGTGTATTTAGTTTAAAATGGCTTTATTTATTTACAATGTATTTTTAAACAAGGACAGATTGGGCTGAAGGTAAGAAGTATCATTAATCAAGTTAGATGACTGCAAAGAGGATATTTAACTGTTGTGAAAGTAAATTGCACAAGCGGTTCATGCCTTATCTCACAGTATTGACAGTACTGGAAATTATTCATGGGAATGCAAATTTAAAATTGTAAAGAAGGACAATTAATTTTGTACCATTTAAATAATTTTCTTCCCTACATATACTACAAACTACAGTTTTTGTCCATTATTATAAGCAACATTTTCACCTTTTTTGCAAAAATAATTCATAAATACTATTTAGGATACCATTTTTATTTTAAAAATTCTTTTGGAGTGGGAATTGTTTACACACCATAAATCTAAAGCTCTTTCCTGTCTAGTTTTATCTTAGTTTTTGTTGTTTAGATATGGATATAGACATTGTCTGCATATAAATATGTTGTGTGCTTGGATTATATCCACCTCCTATATAGTCCTGTGGATTTATATTACAATGATAGAGGGACTTACATTTCATCACAATTTAATTAGTTTTTTATGACAATGCTACATTTTGCCTAATAAGAAGGCCTTTTGTGGCTCTACTTTCATTTCCACGGAGGCTTTTCCATGCAATTAAATTAGTCTCCTTTGAAAACAAGCCAAATATGATTCGAGTTAATTAAAAATTAAAATAAAGCTAAATATATCAGGGAGGCAATTGGTTTTTGAGAACCAAAAATAAAGCCTTCATTCCTCCCCACCCACCAATCACCACTGCCAGACCAACGTGATTAACATGGTTCACTAAAGAAGCTCTGTCCAGTATGCCCAGTGTAATTAACTGCCTGTCATAATGGCCACCTTTATTCTATATGAGGTACTTGGCCTTTGAATTGATCAAATGCCCTTGGCTAGGAATATTTTTCAGTAGAACTCTTGAGCAATAATTTAGTGCCCTGAACTACAGCTAATAGAACACTTTGTACTATCCTAGATGTCCTTGGATAAAAAGGAATAGAAAAAGAGCATCTATCTATGTACAATATAATGAAACAAAATTCTCACTATTATTTTTATATAATATCTATAGACCAATGCTCATGAGTTGATATTTTCTAATGAGCAGAGAGAAAAAAGTCACCTTTCCATGTGTTTAATGGGAACCAAATTGTGTATAAATGGAAAGTTTTAGTGCTTGCAAACAAATGTTCCGCTTCAGTGACAAAAACCTTAAGTCTTAGATATTTCTGTCTGGGAGTACATGGTATAGTGTATGAAACACTGGAGTTTCAAAGATAAGTAAACATTTTCACTAGTTATGAATAGCAGAGCCTTCACCAAAACTTGCACATGTGTATCAAAGGTTTTTATATATTTTTTTAATTTTCTTTTTCTTTTTGTTTTCCTTGCAGATGCAGCAGCTCTTCTATGAAAATTACGAACACAACAAGAAAGGATATATCCAGGAGTTGCACAGCAGCAAAATCCACAACGCCATTACACTTCATCCCAATAAGAGGCCTGCATACCAGTACAGGCTGCACAATTACATGTTGAGCCGTAAAATCTCTGAGCTGAGATACCGCACAATCGAGCTCCACCGGGAAGGAGTAGTCATGAGCAAGCTGAGCAACATGGAAGTGCAGAAGGAAGATCAGCAACTGGGAATGATGCCTTCCTATACTCGCTTCCAGCCAACAGAAAGAAGTGAAGTAATTGAATGGGAGTTCCTCACTGGGAAACTCCTGTACTCCATGGCTGAAAACCAGGTGCCTCGGCAGGGACTCGGCAAAGTGTTACGGGCTGCTTTAGATGACACGGTGCTTCAGGTGATGGAGATGATTAATGAGAACTCAAAGGCGAGAGGCCGTGTTATTGATTTCAAGGAGATCCAATATGGCTACCGGAGAGTAGATCCTTTACATGGGGCAGAATATATCTTGGATTTGTTGCTTCTTTATAAAAAGCACAAGGGGAGAAAGGTTACCGTGCCAGTCCGACGGCATGCCTACCTCCAGCAGTCATTCAGCAAACCCTTCTTTGCAGAAGCTGAGGAACTTGATGTGGGAGAGCTTGTTGACACCATTAACAGTGACTCTCAGTCCTTTTCTTTCCTCTCAAATTCCTTTAAGATCTTCTCTCCCTTCCAGTTTACTGAAGCAACCAAAGAGATGAGGGAAAGGAACGAAAAAAAGATCCACTTCCTTGTCCCTCTCACAGGAAGATATGAAATTTTTGTGAGGTTTATGGAGAACTTTGAGAAGACATGCCTTATTCCAAACCAGAATGTAAAATTAACTGTAATTTTAGTAGACAATGACTCTAACCAAGACAAAGAGAAGCATTTGGATCTGATTATGGAATACCGTAAGAAGTATCCCAAAGCTGATGTAGCAGTCATTCCCATGACTGGAGATTTCTCAAGGGGCTTGGCACTTGAAATGGGATCATCACAGCTAGACAACAACACTTTGCTGCTGTTCTGTGATGTTGACCTTGTGTTTAATGCAGATTTCTTGCAGCGGTGCAGAGACAACACCATTCAAGGGGAACAGGTATATTACCCCATCATCTTCAGTCAGTATGATCCAAAAATCGTTTATGCAGGCAATCCTCCAGAAGACAGCAACTTTGTATTTACAAAGAAAAGTGGATTCTGGAGAGAGTATGGATTTGGAATCACATGCATATATAAAAGTGATTTCTTAAAAGCAGGTGGTTTTGACACTTCAATCCAAGGTTGGGGATTAGAGGATGTAGATCTCTTCACAAAAGTCATAAATTCGGGATTAAAGGCATTTCGTAGTCAAGAGGTTGGAATTGTCCATATTTACCACCCTGTTCACTGTGACCCAAACCTAGACCCTAAGCAATATAAGATGTGCTTAGGGTCTAAAGCAAGTACTTACGCATCCACGATGCAACTAGCTGAACTGTGGTTGGAAAAGCACTTAGGTGTGGGGTACAACAGAACTTTGTCCTGACATTCCAGTTCATTCTCCCATTTTGGGAGGTTACCTCAAGTTTTGTGTGACCTTGCAGAGCAGATGAGTCACATGTGCTCTTGACTGTGTAAGTGGCAGTGTGTAAGTCTGTTGTCTTGTTTGCTTTTATTTGAAGTTAGTTTCTATTCAGCCGTCTTCCAAAGGACTTCTGCACATCCCAGTGGCAGTCCCTCCATTATTTTGATATACACCTGAAAGTGTTTGATGCCGGGTTTCTTGTATTTTTTTGTTTTGGCTTTACATTTTGAGAAGATCCAGTGCATCAGAACTATTCTCAGGAGCACATCCTCCACAAAACCAATGGCTACTTCAAATGAATGTGTGCTTTGTGGCTTTGTTCTGTATAGGCTTTAAAGTACAGTGTTCACCATGTTCCTTTTCAGGCTTTGCTGAACCCAATGTGATGATGACAATGATAATAATAATAATAACAATAAAAATAATAATTAAACTGTTGAAAGTACCACAAAAGTGCTTTACGCTTCCACAGGGGAAGGAACTCTGTAATATAGTTTGAGTTTTCTAATTTATATAAAGTCGTAAAAATGTAAACAGAACTTTCGTCATCTGCAGTATTTTTAAAGTATGTGAATAATTTTGATGATTGTATCTTTATTTTTAAAACTATTTCCTTGACGTAAAAGGTACTGGATACCGATATCCGCTGTCTCGAGACCATTCTGATAAATGATGTATTTCTCTTTTTCATGTGGCCATGCTTAAAAAAGCATTTTGATTGCATTGTTTCAGCTTTGTGAATTTCAAGTCTTTCAGTTTGCTGACAAGAACTAAGAAATTCTATTAAAAGGGGTAATTTATAATAAAGCATATACATTAAAACTTTTATAAATACCTGGTTATGTGAGTTTTATTTAGCCTTTTTCTAAAATGATGGCAAATGTGAATCTTTTAAATAGGCCAACAAAATAATCATTCAGGCCTTCGATTTGAACTAAGTGATATCACTAATCTATAATGCTGCCTACTTGATGTTTTATTATTTCACATTGTGCTTGTCTTCATTCTCTGTCCAAAATCACACAGTTTGAACATTTAATTTGAAAATTTGACAGTGTATTATTATTGTAACACAAGAAAGAAAGATGACATTTCAAGTGCATAACAGACTAGGATAAAAAAACACTGGTAATCAAGTTCTGATTACAGTATATCCATTTGATTATATCCGAGTTTAAATTATATCCATTTGTTATCATTAAAGCTTTTTCAGTTGCTTACAGTATGTCTGGCATGCTGGAAAATAATTATCAGTTCTCTGTCCTTGTTGTTTGTTATTGTTGAAGTACAGGCAAATTAATGTTATACTGATGTTTTTGGTAGTAGACATAATACAGGATGAAGAATATAAAAGTGATTCCACTATTTCCCATTTTGTCCTGTAATAATTATGAGAAACACTTCCCCCTACAGTTCCGTTAACCTATTAAACCTTCAATAAATATTTCAACATTCAGTTATCTTTTTGAACATAGCTAAGGCAAAGTATCAGTAAAAGCTTTCTTTTAAAGCATACCTGTGTTTAATATGGATCTCTAGATGCTTGTGAAGGTGCTCCACATGTTTCTTCTTGGAAATCTGTATAAAGCGGTTTTAAAAGTGAGCTTTAAAAATTTAATGAACAGGCCATGTGTCTGGCTTTCACACTATTGTATATGGCACAGACACACTGTTACAGAATATTAAAATGAAAGAACAAAAAGAATACATTATTACAACTATGCCTTTACTTAAAAAAGTGGGACAAGGGCACATAGACATTAATATTCTGCTATTTTGGAAGATCATGAACTTGAACAGTTTTTAACTGTTTAGTAAAGGACATATGTAACTTGAATCTACCTTTATCATTTTACCTATAAATCACAATGGCTGTATTAAACGTTACAAACTGTGAAGTGTTTGACAAATGGCAAAATAATAAGTATCAATCACATATCAAATATCAGGTTCTGAAGCCAAAATGTTATGCAAGCAAATATGTAAAAAATAGCATTTACAATATACGCTCCCTACAGTCAGGGAATACAGAATGTAACCGTGCAAATGTTTTCTTTCTTCTCCAGACACAGGCGGCTAACTTGAATAGGACAAACAATATGTACTTGCAATAATTTACAGTACATCTAGACAGCACACACTGTTTACAGCAATGCACAGATATTTACAGTTCTGCAAGTCAGAGTACTGCCTTCAACACACATGGCAAAACATGGAACTCTCCCTGGCAACAGTGAGAGATACTGTACAATAAAGAGAAAAAGAGAGAAGGAACCTGAGTATTATTAAATAAAGGATCATATTTAGGATTCAGTCATCTCCAAAGTACTGTAAATGCTAAATAAATGGGAACCTATAGTATAGAATTCAAAATGCTTCACTAAACAGAGATATGTATTTCTGCCTTAAGGATGTTACAAATAGGAAATCACTGTTTCCAAATAATATAAAAAAGTACCTTACATAAAGCTGTATAATATATCCATAATACTGTATAATCCAGTCCACGTTTACTCTCTAATCACCTGGACAGATTCTGGTGACTAGCTGGTCTGTTGAAAGAGGTTCATCTTGCAGCGATTTCTTCTCTCTCCAGTCTTTTCCTGTGCCTTCTCTTTAAAAATTTAATGGACAGGCCTGGTGCCTGGCTTTCACATTACTGTATGTTACAGAATATTAAAATGAAAGAACAAAAAGAATACAATATTACAAATATGCTTTCATTGTAGAAAAAATGGGACAAGAGTACATAGACATTAAAATTCCATTATATTGGAATTGAACTTGACATGAACTTGACAGTTTTGATTTCCAAAACTGTTTAGTAAGGGGCACCTGTATGTTAACCTGTATAATACCCTGTATATTTTTTTATCCTCTATTATCTTCTAATGATCCTGTCATTGTTAAATATTACTCGAATTGTCTGGTCACCCAGGTCGTTGGTCATTGCAACTGCTTTAGGTGAGATCAGATAAGGGAATATTATAAGAAGCTGGGGTATCTTCAGCAACATTGCCCAGTAGCTTATTCCATATTCTCACAAATGAAACTTAAGTCCATTTCAAAACTGCTATTGAAAACAGACTGAAAATGCTGATACTTCTTGCTTCTTACATACAGTATCTGTAAACAATATCAATCGCTTTTTTTATTTGTTAAATGTAATGTTTTGTTAAGAATACTGTAAGCACACTTAAAATGTATGAATTATGAGCTTCATGAAATTTGATCCTTGATTTTTAAAACACTGAACAAAATGCTCTTGTGTTTTCAGAAGTTCCATGTGAAAAGAGACTCTTTTAATCTGATCTGATCCTTTAAAATATCACCTGATAAAAAAAAATATTAATATTTTTAATTTAAAAATTGAAAAACATGAATTGCCAATTTGTTGAAACAGTAAAAAATGGCTAAAGATGCTTGTGTATATTGGAGGATTTCCAATTATTTAATTTCTGACTTTTCTCATGCTTATAGAGTATGTTCTCATAGAAAAGAAGAAAACAAACTGAACATAAATCAACAAGTTGTAAACTTGTTGTAAACACTGTTGTGAAGTTTGGGATTAAATCTGGAATTCAGATTTTAGATTTTGACAAACTTGTTCTTGCACACATCCTCATCCTTATTCTATAAGGCCATGGCAAACATCTGCAAAACCACCTAAAGAAAAACAAGTTGGCTAAGGGTTATTTAAAGTGTTCATTTAGAGTAGGTACTGTAGGTAAACATGGCAAAAAAACAACAACTGTCAAAACAGAATTCAGAGATACTAGTTTCAGACAGTAGGTCAAATTTTTTAAAACACTAATTCTAGCTGATGAGTTGTCTTCTGGTGATCTGCAAGCTAATAGCCTATGAACAGATGCATGAATGTACATCAATTAACAGGATCAGGTCCTGTATACCAGGTCATAATGACAAATCACACTGGATACTCTTTTTAATGCTATTTGATTACTATACAATTCTTATGCAGAAACCTGGCATTGTGTAGTGTTCATTATATAAACTCCTTGACCTGAGAACAATTGAGAAGGGATCTGATGATAAATGGCAAGTTGTGCATTTATTCCAGTTGGAGTAATCAATCCAGCAATTAGAACTATGAGACTTCACAGAGATTAAAAACTGAAATCAAGATGTATTCCTCAAAAATTATAATTTATTTTTAATAAAATCAAAAATAAGTATTAATTTATTTTTGGCAATCTAGTAATATCATTTTCAGACAGAGGGAGCAATTCACTGAAGCCACAAAACTAATGAGACTTGTAACATTCAGAGCTTCAGAAAGGTTGTGTTAATCAATTTTTTTTCACTTATCATGTCTAACTATCAGACAAATGACAATTATTTGAGGAAGATTTTTAATGAGAATATAAGCAAGCTAAAGAAGACAACCTAAAAGAAATATTCTGTGTAGTGTTGGAGATGCAGCATAAAACGAAGCAGATACTGTAGGTGCCTGGGGAAGGTAAATGAGAAATTAATTATGGAAAAAGAACAGATTCTAAAGGGCACCAGAAATTTACTATAATTCTACCAATGTGACCTCTTGGCTTCAAGTATTCTATCCCATCTACAAACAATGAACCCCATTCACAAAAGCTTCTTATTTGATAAGGTGCACCTTATCCAATGATAAGCCTATGGATAAGGTGCAACATATCACGTAAGAAGCTTTTGTTAATGAGTCCAATATGTCACAGCACATATTTAACTGGAACTACTATAAAAATGTTGTTGTTTTTTTAATGTGCAAACTAGTTATCATCTTCTATTATTGGTATAAATCTTTACAATATCCAAGTTTCACAATCTACTTTTGTGTATAACCTCTTTATTGGAAAACAAACAAAACAAACACTAATGCTGTCTTCCTGAAAACCCTTACGGTAGGTACATTCGCAGTAGATAATCTCAAGATTTTATGAGAATAATAGAGATAGGGAACCATTAAAAAAGAATAAACATTCCTTTTTAACTCCAATAAATGAACAAAAAACAGACTAAAATAAAGTACAACAGATCTCAACAGAAAAACAACACTCTCCCAAAAGCATATCCTAAAATCTGTCACATAACAGAAAAAATATTCTCATTGATCAAGCAAACACTTCTAAATAGCCTGGTTTCATCGATAGAGTGAAGACCTCATCAGCTAAACAGCCTTTTTTATCAATCAGCTTCTATAGTTCCCCAGAAAATTTGGATACTGCCTCCCTTGATAATTTCATGTAATGTAAGTAGACTGTAAAACGTTTTAAAGTTATCAAACCACCCTTTGATAGACAGAAGCTTTTCAGTCTCTGTAATCATACAACAAAAAAAAAACTATCTTGTCTTCTCTTAAATGAAAAATAAACCAGAGAATGATGAACCATGAGTACCAGAAAAGAAGAGTCCAAGAAAACTGCCTGACTAGTTTTTTAATGACACCAGACTCTAGCTCATTGATATATAGTACTGTAAACAAGAGCAGTGGTCCTAATAAGATCCCTGTGGTACTCCACTAATAACATAATCCAAACTCGAACATTCATTCCTTATCAGTACTCCCATTAACTAATTCTCAATCCAAATACAATCCTGACATGCCTACCACCTGTAATTTGAGAATTAATCTTTTTTGAGGAACTCAAAGTTTTTAGCATCCGAAAATCTAAACACATCATATACTGCATATACAGTGCATATCCACTGTTGTTGTTGCTTGTTCGAAGAATCCTAAAAATGAAGTTTGGCAAGTCCTACTATTCCTATTCCCCATGATATCACTTTCAGCGAGGTGATACTCTATTTCTAAAACTAACATTACATGTAATAAA